CCTACCCTATGCACATAAATGCATTAATATCCCCGTATGGTTTTCAAATCGCCTGAAAACCTACACAATATAGAATTAAATAGTTCCCATCAAACTTTACGGAAAAGAAAAATAGAAAAACTGAAATAAAACTTTTTGAAAATTGGCCAAAAACAAATATTCCCCCCTTCCCCCTTCTCCATTTGAACTAGCGACCAATTTTCTCAACCTTGACTAGAATGGGATCTCTATGCTTGAGATACTGTTTCACCCACGCTATTCATGATACAGGGTTTGCGAGTAGTTCCTTACATTTTTCTCGCTCCAATCAAAGGCCATTTTCTTTAGGACAAGGGCGTATACAGGAAGAAAAGAGTTGGGAGGGGGTGTAGCCCAACTTCTAAAAAAAACACTAATGGCCGTGGAAAAATAAAGTTTGCGCTTCGTTTCGAATATTGGCATTATCTATTTAATAGAACTAATTCATAATCCCTAACAATCTGAGATGCCAGTGACAAGCAAACATCGATTGCAGATCTTCAATTGGTCAAATGGATTAATTTCCATGCTATTGAGCTAGATGACGAGTTTAACTTGTCCCATTCATTCATAAGTTTTCATCTCAGTCTTTGTTTACATCTATTGTTATTTATCCTACAGAAAATCTACCTAACCTTGAGATTTGAGTGAGAACAATGAAAGGTCGTCTGTTATCTTATCAATCGAGGATTGCCTGGCTCGAAGGGTGCAACTGAAGGCTCCCCTGGGGGGGGGGGAGTTAAACAATTTCCTTGGGGATTTTCTAAGGGACTGTAAGCATAATTTCAAGTGACTTTCCTTTTTAAGAAGTTAAGTTCAGATTCACAACGGGACTCTTGAAACCTGCGACAGACTTTAATGAAAGGTCACTTGAAATTACGCTTACAGACCCTTTAATTTACGCTTGCATACCCTTTAAATTACGCTTACAGACCCTTTAAATTACGCTTGCAGACCCTTTAAATTACGCTTGCAGACCCTTTAAATTACGCTTGCAGACCCTTTAAATTACGCTTGCAGACCCTTTACATTACGCTTGCAGACCCTTTACATTACGCTTGCAGACCCTTTAAATTACGCTTGCAGACCCTTTAAATTACGCTTGCAGACCCTTTAAATTATGCTTGCAGACCCTTTAAATTATGCTTGCAGACCCTTTAAATTGTATTAACTAACAAAGAAATTGAGTCTTTTCCACGAACTCTTATTTTCTAATTCATATATTTCAACTGAATGTCGTAGACCATAAATATTTCAACTTATAAATTATGTTAGATCAAATAATCTAGCTTTGAATTATCAAAAGATTACGCCATCAGGCTGCAAAGATATTGTTAATATAGAAATCGTTCAAATATGAATCAAATCTCCATTTCAAAAGTAAATAGCCTAATCGGGGCATTGTGATCTTGCCAGACTATATTTGTTGCATGCAATGTGCTGTGTAGACTCTACACTGGGTAGTCCCGATTGAACAGTACGACTGGAGAGGCGGATAGATAATATCTAAAAGTATAATGCACATCAGAAAAATATTTCCAGGTTTTTATTTGACATCTTTTTTAAATTTCAATTTTTACTCTTGAACTGTGATATTCCTCTGTAAAGGGCTTGATAGGAAATAGACATATCATAAATATATTATTTTATTCAAAAGTTTTGAAAACTGTTTGAAATATTCAGAGTTCTATAATAGTGATATTCCTCTGTAAAGGGCTTGATAGGAAATAGACATATCATAAATATATTATTTTATTCAAAAGTTTTGAAAACTGTTTGAAATATTCAGACTTCTATAATGGAATTGAGTCTCTGTCACAAACTCTGATTTTTTAATCCTTCTATTACTGTGCAACCTAATGTCGTAGACCTTAGATATTTCAAACTATGAATTTTGTTAGTTCAAGTGATCTAAGTTTGAAATATAAAAAGTTACACCATTAGGTTGGCAAGATATAAGCATTAGAACATTTGAGTTTATGACAAAAACTCAATTCCTTTTGGTACTATTTAAGTTTTGATTGTTAACAAGCTTTTTTTCGAGTTTGAAAGTAGGTAAAGAGAAGCTTTTTTAATTAACAGATTCTCTGTTTCCATGTTTATGTGTATTAATGCTGTTTAAAAGCTTGATAAAAATTGAAATTGGAAAGTTGTCTTCATTGTATTGATATATGGGACGACGACTGTAGTATACAAAGCTTGAGCTTCACTAATTCTATTCTGACAAATCTATAACTATGTTTTTACAAACATTTAATTTATAAAATTATAATTGATCTTTTTGAAAACTAGTTTAATAGATTTATTTCTGAAAAATCTAAATAAAAAATAAAAATCAAGAGAAGTGAAAAGTAATAGTTTTTAGTGAAAATTATGAAACTTTAATGCTAAATCTGAAATCTTTAAATGGATTAGAAAATAATAAATAAATAGATTTTTTTTTTTAGATTTTAGGATTGAATGTTTAACAAAAAATATTATTCTGTAAAATATAATTTTATAAACATGAATATTATTCTGTAAAATATAATTGTATAAACATGAATGAAAGTATTGGAAAAGAATTGAATAAATTTATGAGAAAAATAATGGTGAACTATTGGCATATTCAAAATCTACATTTTTCATTGTGCAATACATCATCTTCCAAAGATACTGCAATTAGGAACAAAGATCTTTTGGTTTCGATGAAGAAATAATACCTTTATAATGCCTTTACACTGTAAATATTTGACATAACTGTTACGGCTTTGTGACCTTGCAGCGCTTCAAATTTTGATTTTACACTTAAGTATGAGAAAAACAATGAAGTTTTCATTCCTGTATAGTAAGATTGAAATACATTGCCCCAAAACCGCAGTGCTCGGTCCCCTCGCCAGTTCCATAGCCTTGTAGAAGAGAATGATTCAAGCATAAATGAGGCCAGAGAAACGACACTGGAAAAAATATCGTAGCGCTGCGTGGAAAAGTAGGAAATTGTTTTTCATTCAATGATGGGAAATTTTTTTGAAAAAATGAATGAAAAATGTTTTTAACTAGAGATATTTTTTCTTGTACGTCTTGTATTCTTATCATCTTTGGCCCTACTCCTAAATTGGCAAACGTAATAGAATTTTGTCCGTCTTGTATTTTACTGCCTTTGGTTTTATAGATCCTATACTGCCAAATATAATGGAATAAAAGAGAACTAGAGAATCTTCTAATAAATTGATGGAATTCTTATTAAAGAAGAAACCATAGATACAGGTTGTAAAGCACTAAATACAGTAGAAACCAGAAAATTGTGGATGAATTGTCGTCTTCGTTTATTCTCTAAATTAGGAAAGGCAGCTAGCGGATTTTTGTAATTTGTAATTGATTATTATTTCGTTAAAATTTTTCAGAAAAAATCCGTTAATATTTTCTGACAGACACAATTTTTAGGGTTAATTTTCTTAGTTATCAATCAATTGTTATTAAAGGAAACATTTATCTAAATATCAAAAAGACGAAAATATTATCATTTTTTTTAGATTTAAAAAAGTGTTTCTTTAAAGCATAACTGTGCTAGTCACTTTCATAGATAAACCATAAATGAAAATAATCGATTGTAAGCTTAACGTATACAAATATCTCATTCCTTCCTTTTTGAATCCGACATGTCACTCTTCAAATGAAGGGTCATATGAAAGTACGCCTAAAGTCCTTTAAACAGTCCTGTAGCTTTTAGTTATAAGTCCATGGTAAATAAAGTGTTTATTTCTTCATTTTATAGATTTGGATTTGTAGCTGTAGAGTAAAAACTTAGGCCTAACGTCCATCAGTTTTCAAAATATATAAAAAAAACATTATACACTGTGATTCGAATTTCAGGTTTCATGCGGTGAGAATCAGAAAATTCTGGAATAGAAAGACGACTTTCAGACTCAAGTTATGACTTTAGATAGTCCAAAATGAACAAGAGACACCGCAGATGTGCAATGTAAACAGACACATTTCACATAATTACGGATTTCATAAGTTACTGGTGAAACTATATGCTTTGTAATTAACCAACAAATACGCTTTAGCATTGCTACATTGTCGTCTTCCTATTCCATAGTTTCTGGTTATCACTATACGTATTCTTTGTCTAAGTTACAATCTTTTCTTTTTATCATTTTTTGGTATAGCTTTACGTATTAGGCTTTATTTGATGAGATTTAGTGATATCTTAAGTTCATTCCATTTAAACTTTACAGTCATCAATACTTCACACATTCGATAATTTCGTAGTGTTAATCTTGGCGTTTACTTCATATGCGTAGCTATAGCCAATCCGGAAATCGAATTTAATGACATTGAGGGGCCGCTGAACTGCAAACAGCCACCGGTTCAAATTTGAATTGTCGATTCAGATTTGAATATTCAATCCCAGGATCATTAAATGTGATGTTATATTATTCATTAGTTTAAATGAACACACAGTTTAAAACCAAGAGATTTTAAGACATTGAAAGAGTTTATAAAATGTCGTCTTGACAATATTTTATATTATTATACGTAAATCTCAGTAATTGCAAAAAACAAATAAATAGCCATGAATGTGCAGGAACAATTTGAAAGGGCTCCATATAATCGTTTAATTAAAAAACTAAATATCTGCAGCATTCCATTAACAGAAAGTTAAGAATACGACATTTTATAAATTCTTCCGATGACTCTTTATATTTGAACATAACTGTAGTAAATTGTAATTGGGTTTTATTTTGAGCTGAAACAGACAATTTTGAAAATCTAGAAAGTGAACTTAAGTTTAAAGTTTAAATTTTATCATTGATCTAAGAAATGAGACAAAATCCTTACTTTGTATTGAACCACTCACCTTTGTAAATATTAAATATAAAGCAAACTTTAATTTATCTGAAAGTTTAAAGTTTTGAAAATTTGAAATGATAGATTATCTTGTTATTTCAAAGTTAGAAGTTCCTTCAATAAATTATATTCGCAGTGATGTAAAGCTAATTTAGCTTAGATTGAGTACTCAAAGCTAATTAAGTTTAGATTGAGTACTCTAAGCTAATTTAGCTTAGATTGAGTACTCTGAGCTAATTAAGCTTAGATTGAGTACTCATAGCTAATTTAGGTTAGATTGAATTTTCAAAGCTAATTAAGTTTAGATTAAGTACTCTAAGCTAATTTAGCTTAGATTGAGTACTCTGAGCTAATTTAGCTTAGATTGGGTACTCAAAGCTAAATAAGTTTAGATTGAGTACTCTAAGCTAATTTAGCTTAGATTGAGTACTCAAAGCTAATTAGTTTAGATTGCGTACTCTAAGCAATTGAGTTTAGATTGAGTACTCGAATCAAATTTAGTTTAGACTGAGTATACGAAGCTAATTAGTTTAGATTGAGTACTCAAAGCTTATCAGTTTAATAAGATTGAGTATTGGAAGCTAATCAAATTTAGATTGAGTATTCGAAGCAATTAAGTTTAGATTGAGTACTCAAAGCAAATTAGTTTAGATTGAGTATGCGGAGCTAATTAAGTTAAGATTGAGTATTCGAAGCAATTAAGTTTAGATTGAGTACTCAAAGCTAATTAGTTTAGATTGAGTATGCGGAACTAATTAAGTTAAGATTGAGTATTCGAAGCAATTAAGTTTAGATGGAGTACTCGAAGCTAATTAGTTTAGATTGAGTACTCAAAGCTAATTAAGTTTAGATTGAGTACTCGAAGCTAGTTAAGTTTAGATTGAGTATTCGAAGGTGATGGTTTTAGTTTTGAGATATTCGTTAAGAGCTTCTTTTCCCAGATCTTTGCCAAACCCAGATCTCTTCACACCACCAAAAGGTGCCGCCACATCGGTCTTATTATATCTAAACAAATAAAAACA